AGTGACTATTATTATTATTATACAGTATTTATAAAGCGCCAACAGTTCGCTCAGCGCTGTACATTACAAAGGGAGACAGAACATGTGACAGAACAATACCAATACAATGCAAAACATGAGGGGATGAGGTGACTATCCAAAATTCATCATTCTACAACACAATATATTTAATGAAATTTACACTGAGAATATAAAGATTATAATTTAGTTGATTTAGCGTATAATTAGTGGATGTACACAATTTTCTTTAGTCTATCAGCATCATCTGAGTAATTAGGTTAGTGTTACAGAACGTCAACATGAATTCACAAAATGTTTCCATCATGACGCATTGTTTCAAGATTTTTTTTTATATATCTAACTGTAAGAAAAGTGATATGTGAGAGAATTCTACAAGCTGGAATTAATTCTTGGCACATATAAAATCTCTCACAGCTGTGTGTATTAGATGCTTGCCTGTCGCACACAGTTTGCTCAAACCAAAACAAACAGCATACGGCTACATAAACAGAATTCTGCTAACCTGTAATTTAAAGGCTATGTTCGTTTTTAATGTCAGCCTGCTAAAAGTGAGTAACCTATTTTATTTTAAAAAAAACAGCACTACAGGCAAACACATACAGTGCTCAGCAAAAATGAGTACACCCCTTTTGAAAAAGTAGGATTTTAATCAATATCTCTATCAACACAAGAACTTCCAAAACTTTGACAAAACCAAGTTTTATAGAACATTTGTTTAGCTCATTTCATGAAAGGAAGATTAATAATATAATTTGGATTACAAAATCTTCAGTTTTACTCAAATTAGTTGATGCAAAAATGAATACACCCCACAACAAAAATTACTCCATCTAGAATTTTGTATGACTCCCATGATTTGTAAGGACAGCACCAAGTCTTCTGGCAAGGAATGAATAAGTTGGGGACACATTGCAACATCTTTTTTTCCATTTTTCAAGAATGACTTGTTTTATAGCCTGGATGCTGGATGGAGAGTGGTGCTCAGCTTATCTCTTCAGAATTCCCTATAGGTGTTTGATTGGGTTCAGATCAGGAGACATACTTGGCCACTGAATCACTTTCATCCTGTTCTTCAGAAATGCAACAGTGGCCTTAGATGTGTGTTTTGGATCATTGTCATGATAGAAAAATGCACGACAACCAAGGGCACAGAGTGATGGTAGCATCTTTTCATTCTATATAGAGCAGTACATCTGTGAGTTCATGATACCATCAATGAAATGCAGCTCCCTGACACCAGCAGCACTCATGCAGCCCCACAGAAGGACACTGCCACCACCATGTTTCACTGTAGGCACCATGCATTTTTCTTTGTACTCCTCACCTTTGCGACGCCATACAGTTTTGAAGCCATCAGTTCCACAAACATTTATCTTGGTCTCATCACTCCAGAGTACAAAGTCCCAGTAGTCTTTTTTTTTTTCAGCATGGGCCCTAGCAAATTCTAGGCAGACTTTTTTTGTGCATGGGCTTTGGGAGAGGCTTCCTTTGTGGACGACACCTATGCATGTCATTCCTCTGCAGTGTACACTGTATTGTGTCACGGGAAACAATCACCCCAGTTCTTCTTTAGCTAACTGCAGTGAAGTTACATGGCAATTTTCTTCAGCCCTTCTCATCAGAAGACGGTCCTGTCGAGGTGTTGTTAACTTGCGTGGACAGCCTGGATGTCCCAGAGATGGTTGCAGTTTAAATTTTTGTATCACTTTTGCTACAGTAGTCGGCATAAGTAAAGCTTTGCTGATCTTCCTGTAGCCGTCACCTTTCTTGTGTAAAGAAATTATTTTCTCAGGCCTTGTGACATTTCTCTTCCATGTAGTGCCATGGCTGACAGCATGAAATGGGAAGGTGTTTTCTTTGTTAAGTAATATCCTTTTATAATCAACTGTCTGCTGGACATATGTTTAATGAGTAGGGGGTGGGGGGGGGGGGGGGGGGGGGGGGGGGGGGGGGGGGGGGGGGGGGGGGGGGGGGGGGGGGGGGGGGGGGGGGGGGGGGGGGGGGGGGGGGGGGGGGGGGGGGGGGGGGGGGGGGGGGGGGGGGGGGGGGGGGGGGGGGGGGGGGGGGGGTGGGGGGGGGGGTCTGACAGAAATGTTGGGGTGTGCTGAGCTACATATACACACACTCAGCTAGTTTTGTGACTCACCAATCCTACTGCACAACAAGCCAGATGCCGTCACTATTTCATAGTTCCGCTATGCAGTTTCCAGTGTTACCTCTTCTACTCCAGCCTATTCAGGGTGTAATGAACTTGCATCGTCACTAAGACACTGTTGGTTTTTTGCCATGTGTCCTATCCGGGAGATTTACCTTCACTTCCTGTCCCATAGCCAAAACAGGAAGTGATAGGAAAATCTTGCAAATTAAGGGAATCCCTTGTGCCCCCAAGGTCACCAGAACTAGTGCCCTCAATTGAAGATTTCTCCTCACTTTGTTAGGGACAACCCGAAACTTTACATTTTTTTTTTACTTTCACTTTCAATGATAATGGTAAACAGGAGAAAGCGGATAAATCTCCCCCTCTAGTTATACTTGAAAACACATGTATTTTAACAGTAGCTCTTTCTAGAGTGGCTCTTCAACTTTTTTTTTTTTTTACACACCTGCAGAAACATTATCTACAAATAACCGAACTAATTAACGTATCTTTGCATATAACTACTTTAGTCTGTCTTTATTTCTGTCTCTGTGATCTCCTACACAATAGGATAGAGAGGGGCACTACAGAGTGGGTTTAATGATGCCAGGTGTCATTCAACCTAGAAAAGGACAGCCAGTGGATCAGTGGGCAGGACGTCTTTATACCACTAACGCACAAGTCTGCTGGCTCAATAAAACTTCCTGTTGGCTACTGACATTTACAGGAATCTGTACACCATTGGATAGGTAACAGATACTGAAATTTGTATATTGTCATGTTACTGGCTGCAACAGACAGACGATGACTAGATGAACGCTACACATTAGTACAAAGAATCTTGTTTAAAGTGTAACTAAAGGCAAAACTTTTTTTTCATCTTGGAAGAATAAGAAGGTTATAACCCCTGTCAGTTTTTTGCCATCTGTGTCCCATTGAGATTTCCCTTCACTTCCTGTCAAAACACACAGTGAGAGGAAATTCATCCAAAGTGAGAGAATCCTGACGTGACAGCAGGGTCACTAGAACTGTTCCCATTGAAAGATTTCCTCTCAATTACTGTTCTGATGCCAACCCACAATTTGGGATTTTCTTTTACTTTTGATAATGGTAAACAAAAACAAATAGATCAAGTACATCTCCCTAGCGGGGGCACAGGCTGCGATTAGGACTGACAGGTGTTCTAATCCCTCTCCTTGCTACCCAAAACTTAAAAAAAAAAATGCGTTTGTTATACTTTAGTGGGCCTTGAGGCTCGAGCAATAAATACCTTTATGTTCACCAGGCCAAAGGCAATATAAACATATTACATTCTCTGTTAACAGTATGTCATAACAATATGATTATTATTATTAAAGTGACACTGGGATTATATCCAATCAGAGACATCCGATTATCCCTCTCTGTTTGGCATCTTTCCACCAAGTGCATTTCCCAGGCTTGAATATTTTGCCATTTCTGTAAACATTTACCTGATATGTGACATGTCTGACATCTTATTTTTCACACTGCATAAAGAAAACTGTTGGGCCAAAATTTTTTCGAGTATCTCAATAACATTTTCCTTATAAAACTCAATTTTCCACCATGTGCTGTTCAATTATTACACAGCCAGGATTTAGATAAATTGATTTCTGGAAAATAAAGTCTGATAATTACAAATACCAGGCCCTTGGATCTGCCTACTCCTGGTTACAATTTATTACTACACTGTACCTAGGATAACATCTTTTATTACACATCAAACTAGGTCTAACTTTACAATCTTAGCTTCCTAGCACACAAGGCTCAAGCTTACTAAATCAGAAAAAGATAGCATAGTGCTGATAACAGGCATGTTAATGAATAATGATGTACATTTATGAAACATTGGAGCCACATAATCAATAGCACTTAGGAAACTTTGTATGAAAATAATGAAGAGCTGCTTCAGCAGTAAAAACAGGAAGCCCTCTGACATCTGTGGGTAGGCTCTGTATCATATCATTATCAAGTGAGTTCATGCTGGAAACGGAAACATTAACACCGACACACTTCCTACTGTATACCACCGACGTACAGTGAAACGGTTTCCAGCAGCAGAAATCTGAGAAGGTTTATATTCTCATATACATTCTATGGCACTAAATCAAATATGAACCATTAACAAGACACTGAACTGAGATCTCACTTAAGGATTTTAAAAATACAAACTGGCTGATTTACTATATTTTAGGAGCACATGAGTATAGAAAAGGACAAATGTGATTTTTATTTTACAGTATTATAAGGATAATTCCATTATAAACTTTACTTCTTGGTGTAATTTAGTGTACTTAACCCAGCAATGGTCTAAATTTCCCAGGAATCAACTGAACGCATCTCACGGGGAAGGAAACTTAGCAGTACCTCTGCCTACAAGTGCCTGAGAATGTTGTTCTGTGGACTCTCTGGTACAGTCCAGCTGCAGCATGCCGTATGACTGACAAACGCACCACAAAGCGGCAATGATGAGCACAAACGTGAGCAGCTGCAAGACGACTGACAACATTCACCATCCTGTATTTTCCATGTGATGCAGCTTTTGAATAATTACCGTATTTTTCGCTCCATAAGACGCACCTGACCATAAGACGCACCTAGGTTTTAGAGGTGAAAAACAAGAAAAAAAAATATTCTGAACCAATGGACTGCAGACACAGTACAGGGGATGACCAGAGACTGCGGACACAGTACAGGAGATGACCAGAGACTGCGGACACAGTACAGGAGATGACCAGAGACTGCGGACACAGTACAGTAGATGACCAGAGACTGCGGACACAGTACAGTAGATGACCAGAGACTGCGGACAGTACAGTACAGTAGATGACCAGAGACTGCGGACACAGTACAGGAGATGACCAGAGACTGCGGACACAGTACAGGAGATGACCAGAGACTGCGGACACAGTACAGGAGATGACCAGAGACTGCGGACACAGTACAGGAGATGACCAGAGACTGCGGACACAGTACAGGAGATGACCAGAGACTGCAGAAACAGTGCAGGAGATGACCAGAGACTGCGGACACAGTGCAGGAGATGACCAGAGACTGCGGACATAGTGCAGGAGATGACCAGAGACTGCGGACATAGTACAGGAGATGACCAGAGACTGCGGACATAGTGCAGATGACCAGAGACTGCGGACACAGTACAGGGAATGACCAGAGACTGCGGACACAGTGCAGGAGATGACCAGAGACTGCGGACACAGTACAGGGGATGACCAGAGACTGCGGACACAGTGCAGGAGATGACCAGAGACTGCGGACATAGTGCAGGAGATGACCAGAGACTGCGGACATAGTACAGGAGATGACCAGAGACTGCGGACATAGTGCAGATGACCAGAGACTGCGGACACAGTACAGGGAATGACCAGAGACTGCGGACACAGTGCAGGAGATGACCAGAGACTGCGGACACAGTACAGGGGATGACCAGAGACTGCGGACACAGTACAGGGGATGACCAGAGACTGCGGACACAGTGCAGGAGATGACCAGAGACTGCGGACACAGTACAGGGAATGACCAGAGACTGCGGACAGTGCAGGGAATGACCAGAGACTGCGGACAGTGCAGGGAATGACCAGAGACTGCGGACACAGTGCAGGGAATGACCAGAGACTGCGGACAGTGCAGGGACAGTGCAGTGCAGGGATGACCAGAGACTGCGGACAGTGCAGGGAATGACCAGAGACTGCGGACAGTGCAGGGAATGACCAGAGACTGCGGACACAGTGCAGGGAATGACCAGAGACTGCGGACAGTGCAGGGAATGACCAGAGACTGCAGACAGTGCAGGGAATGACCAGAGACTGCGGACACAGTGCAGGGAATGACCAGAGACTGCGGACAGTGCAGGGAATGACCAGAGACTGCGGACACAGTGCATTGAATGACCAGAGACTGCAGACAGTACAGGGAATGTCCAGAGACTGCAGACAGTGCAGGGGATGACCAGAGACTGCTGACCTTTGGGAAGGGAGGGGGAGCGGTTACCTGAATTTGACAGGTACCCGCTCCCACTTCCGCGGAGTTGCCTTTCCTCTTCTTCCCGGGCCGGCTTCTGTGACAGCCGGGTGCCCACTGCGCAGGTGCGAGAAGCACTTCGCTTTGTGAATGGCCCGGCGCCTTCTGGGACCCTTCATGTGTCCCAGAAGACACCGGATCATTCACAAAGCGCAGCACATGCGCAGTGGGCACCCGGCTGTCACAGAAGCCAGCGCGGGAAAGACTGTGCAGCGCTGGAGCGAGGAACAGGTAAGGCCCTGCAGGAGACAACAGCTGAGCGGCCGGCCCGGTATTCTGACATGGTGGTGCAAAAATACCGGACCGGCCGCTTTATATTCGCTCCATAAGACGCACTGACATTTTCCCCCCTTTTTGGGGGGGAAAAAAGTGCGTCTTATGGTGCGAAAAATACGGTAAATATTCATCCTGATCAAACATGTATTTTACTGCAACAAAAATAGAGAAAGACACCACAATAAAATACAGAGGTCTGAATGAAGCCTAACACCTCTCCAACTGAAGAAAACGTGGATTTTTTTCTACATACTTACCTGTAAAATTCATTTCTTGGAGTACATCACAGGACACAGAGCAGGCCATAATAATCACTATGTGGGTTATATGTCACCTATAGGTAAATGTACAATGGACAACTAATCAAACAGGAAGTTCTGCCCCATATAACCCCCACTACACAGGAAATACTCAGTTTTTGTAGCAAGCAATGAAAATCCAGTCCCGTGATGTACTGCAAGAAATGGATTTTACAGGTATGTAATCCAATTTTCTTTATTGTACATCACAGGACACCGAGCAGGCCATAATAAATGACTATGTGGGACTTCCCAAAGAAATAACCTGGAGGGGTGGGTGACATCACAATAATCACCACCATCACAAAATGGAGCTATTCAGCTGTTCGTAAAACACTGTGGCCAAAGGCATAATCCTCCGTGGCTCTGATATCCGCTGGTAAAACCTTGTGAATGTTAGAAGCTTAGAAATACAGTCAGGTCCATAAATATTGGGACATCGACACAATTCTAACATTTTTGGCTCTATACACCACCACAATGGATATGAAATGAAACAAACAAGATGTGCTTTGACTGCAGACTGTCAGTTTTAATTTGAGGGTATGTACATCCAAATCAGGTGAATGGTGTAGGAATTACAACAGTTTGCATATGTGCCTCCCACTTGTTAAGGGACCAAAAGTAATGGGACAATTGGCTTTTCAGCTGTTCCATGGCCAGGTGTGTGTTATTCCCTCATTATCCCAATTACAATGAGCAGATAAAAGGTCCAGAGTTCATTTCAAGTGTGCTATTTGCATTTGGAATCTGTTGCTGTCAACTCTCAAGATGAGATCCAAAGAGCTGTCACTATCAGTGAAGCAAGCCATCATTAGGCTGAAAAAACAAAACAAACCCATCAGAGAGATAGCAAAAACATTAGGCGTGGCCAAAACAACTGTTTGGAACATTCTTAAAAAGAAGGAACGCACTGGTGAGCTCAGCAACACTAAAAGACCCAGAAGACCACGGAAAACAACTGTGGTGGATGACCGAAGAATTCTTTCCCCGGTGAAGAAAAACACCCTTCACAACAGTTGGCCAGATCAAGAACACTCTCCAGGAGGTAGGTGTATGTGTGTCAAAGTCAACAATCAAGAGAAGACTTCACCAGAGTGAATACAGAGATGGAAACCATTGGTGAGCCTCAAAAACAGGAAGGCCAGATTAGAGTTTGCCAAACGACATCTAAAAAAGCCTTCACAGTTCTGGAACAACATCCTATGGACAGATGAGACCAAGATCAACTTGTACCAGAGTGATGGGAAGAGAAGAGTATGGAGAAGGAAAGGAACTGCTCATGATCCTAAGCATACCCACCTCATCAGTGAAGCATGGTGGTTGTAGTGTCATGGCGTGGGCATGTATAGCTGCCAATGGAACTGGGTCTCTTGAAATTATTGATGATGTGACTGCTGACAAAAGCAGCAGGAGGAATTCTGAAGTGTTTCGGGCAATATTATCTGCTCATATTCAGCCAAATGCTTCAGAATTAATTGGAAGCCGCTTCACAGTGCAGATGGACAATGACCCAAAGCATACTGCAAAAGCAACCAAAGAGTGTAAGGGAAAGAAGTGGAATGTTATGCAATGGCCAAGTCAATCACCTGACCTGAATCCGATTGAGCATGCATTTCACTTGCTGAAGACAAAACTGAAGGGAAAATGTCCCAAGAACAAGCAGGAACTGACGACAGTTGCAGTAGAGGCCTGGCAGAGCATCACCAGGGATGAAACCCAGCGTCTGGTGATGTCTATGCGTTCCAGACTTCAGGCTGTAATTGACTGCAAAGGATTTGCAACCAAGTATTAAAAAGTGAAAGTTTGAGTTATGATTATTATTCTGTCCCATTACTTTTGGTCCCTTAACAAGTGGGAGGCACATATGCAAACTGTTGTAATTCCTACACCGTTCACCTGATTTGGATGTAAATACCCTCAAATTTAAGCTGACAGTCTGAGTCTGCAATTAAAGTACATCTTGTTCGTTTCATTTCAAATCCATTGTGGTGGTGTATAGAGCCAAAAATGTTAGAATTGTGTCGATGTCACAATATTTATGGACCGGACTGTAGTTGATTTGGATGCCACCTGTCCTCTCCTGGGACCTTCCAGAAAAATAAACAAGGAATCAGCCAAATTTGCGCCATCATTCTCAAAAAAGAACCCTTAGCCCCCTGGTTACATCGCTTTGCATGCCCTGCATCTTTCAAATCGTATGCCAAGTCGCACCCTATTGTCTGCTATTAGAGTGGTCATATTGGTACAGTTCCGACTTGGTCGGTGCCGCACCGATTTCTAAAGTAGTGCATGCACTAATTTTGTTGCGATTTGCATAGACATCTGTGTCAGATGTCTTGCAAATTGCAACTGAAATTGGCAGGTCACCCAATTTTGAAATCGTGCAACATTGTAAGTCGCACAATGTGCGATTTCAAAATCGGCTTTGATGTGACCGGGGTGTTATTGCCCGAACCACATCTAGGGCATGCATCTTTCTTTTGCCTAGGAAAAAATTAAAGCAGAACAATGTTCTGATAGAGATGAAAACCAGAAACCACCTTTGGCAAAAAGGACAGATGAGGCCATAACACCATTTTATCCTTGTGTAAAACCAAAAATGGTTTCCTACAAGAAAGAGCTGCCAGCTCTGATGCCCTTCTGGCAGAGGTGATTGCCATCAAAAACAGAATCTTTTGAGTTACCAGAACAAACGGAATCTCCATAACAGGTTCAAATGGTGGTTTCTGTAAAACTGCCAAGACCAAGTTCAAGTCCCAAGGACACGGGCTGTCTGACAGGAGCTATAGTACGCATCACTCCCTATAAAAAAGAACGAACCAAAGAATGAGAAGCAGTCTTTGGGGGAAAAAAAAAAAACAGCCAAGGCTGAAACCTGACCCTTAAAAGGACCAACAGCCAATTTCTTTTCTACTCCTGACTGGAGAGAAGATAAAATTCTCCCAAATACTTCCAGGGGTGCCTATTTCAACACTCATACCAAGAAATACACGCCTTACAAGTTCTATAATAAATGTTAGAAACCAGCTTCCTAGCATTCAACATTGAGTGGGTAAGTCTGATACTTCCCTATCTTTCAAGATTTGGGTCTCAACAGCTATGCCGTCAAATTGAGCGACCGTAAGGCTGGGTGCAATATAGGCCCGAGACAGCAGGTCTGACAGATCTGGCAGAGGCCATACAATGCCTACTGCTCAACTGACAATGTCCACATATCAACACCTCCTGGGCCAGGCTAGTGCCAGTAATATCACTAGAATCACCTTGTCTCGAATCCTGCAAAATAGCCGTGGCAGTAGCAGCATTGGGGTAAAGGCATAGATTAGGGAAAACTGGTCGCACAGTATCACCAAGGCATCTACCTCAATCGCAAGAGGGTACCGCGACCTGACTACAAACCGGTCCACCTTGCTGTTGAAACTGGATGCCAATAGATCTACATCCAGGTACTGCCAACGCTGCAAATTGCCAAGAACATCTTGGGATGCAGAGCCCATTCCCCTGGAAACAACCACAGCCTACTGAGGTAGTCCGCCTGCCAATTCTCTATCCCTGGAATGACTACTGCTAACATAACTGGAACATTTCCTTCTGCCAAAACCAGAATGTGATCCACCTCCTCCTGAGCCCTCCAGCTGTTGGTACCGCTGTGGTGCTTGGTGTATGCTACTGCCATAGCATTGTCAAACTGGACCCTGACTGGCCAACCATGAAGCCTGGTCGTCCAATATCTCAGGGCAAGCCGCACAGCCCAAAGCTCTAGGATATTGATGGGAAGGATCGTTTCCTGTGAAGAACACATCCCCTGGACTGTGGTAACTGATAAAACAGCCCCCACCCCAAGAGACTGGCA